GCCGCAGGCAGCCCCATGCCCATCGGCATCTTCATCGTCGTCATCCCCATCATCATCCTCATCCCCGTCCCCATCATCATCCTCCTCATCCCCATCGGCATCCCCATCATCATCATCCTCATCCCCATCATCATCATCCTCATCCTCATCCCCATCGGCATCCCCGTCCGCATCGTCATCATCCTCATCCCCATCATCATCATCCTCATCCCCATCGGCATCCCCATCCGCATCGTCATCATCCTCATCCCCATCATCATCATCCTCATCCCCATCGGCATCCCCATCCACATCGTCATCATCCTCATCCCCATCCCCATCATCATCATCCTCATCCCCATCCCCATCATCATCATCCTCATCCTCATCCCCATCATCATCCTCATCCCCACTCCCATCGGCATCCCCATCCCCATCGTCATCATCATCATCCCCATCCCCATCATCATCATCCTCATCCCCATCCTCATCCTCATCCCCATCCCCATCATCATCATCCTCATCCCCATCTGCATCCCCATCCCCATCATCATCATCCTCATCCCCATCTGCATCCCCATCCGCATCGTCATCATCATCATCCTCATCCCCATCCCCATCATCATCATCCTCATCCCCATCCCCATCCCCATCAACATCCCCATCCCCATCATCATCCTCATCCCCATCATCATCATCCTCATCCCCACTCCCATCGGCATCCCCATCCCCATCGTCATCATCCTCATCCCCATCATCATCATCCTCATCCTCATCCCCATACCCATCGGCATCCCCATCATCATCATCGTCGTCATCCTCATGGTCATCCCCATCCCCATCCTCATCCTCATTGTCATCCCCATCATCCTCATCCCCATCCCCATCATCATCATCCTCATACCCATCATCATCATCCTCATCCCCATCCCCATCAGCATCATCCTCATCCCCATACCCATCGGCATCCCCATCCCCATCATCATCATCCTCATCCTCATCCCCATCAGCATCCCCATCATCATCATCGTCGTCATCCTCATGGTCATCCCCATCCTCATGCTCATTGTCATCCCCATCCTCATCATCATCCTCATCCCCATCGGTATCCCCATCTTCATGCTCACCCCCTCCCCATCTCCATGGCCATCCCATGACCATCCCCATCCTCATCCCATCTCCATCCCCATCTCCACGGCCATCCCAGAGGCCATCCGCATCCTCATCCCCTCCCCATCTCTATGCCCATCCCATCCCCATCCCCATCCTCATCCCATCCCCATCTCCATTCCCATGACCATCCCCATCTCCATTCCCATGACCATCCCCATCCTCTTCCCATGACCATCCCCATCCTCATCCCATCCACATCCCCATTCCCACGGCCATCCCCATCCCATCCCCATGGCCATCCCAATCTTCATCCCATTGCCATCCCCATTCCCATCTCCATCCCATGACCAACCCCATCTTCTTCCCATGGCCATCCCCATCCTCATCCCATCCCATCCTCATCCCATCCCCATCCCCATCCCCATCCCCATCTCCATCCCACGGCCATCCTCATTACCATGACAATCCCCATCTCCATCTCCATGGCCACCCCATGGCCATTGCCATCTTCTTCCCATGGCCATCCCCATCCTCATCCTATCCCCATCCCCATCTCCATCCCATGGCCAGCCCCATTCCCATCCCCATCTCCATCCCCATCTCCACGGCCATCCCATTGCCATCTCCATTCCCATGGCCATCCCCATCCCATCCTCATCTCCATGGCCATCCCCATCTCCATTCCATCCCCATTCCCATTCCCATGACTGTCCCCATTCCCATGAACATCCCATCCCCATCCCATCCCCATCTCCACCTCCATGGCCATCCCCATCCCATCCCCATCCTCATCCCATGGCCATCCCCATCCCCATCCCATCCCCATGGTGATGCCCATCCCCATCCCCATCCCATCCCCATCCCCATCCCCATCCCATCCCCATCCCCATGCCATCCCCATCTCCCCGGCTCCGCGCCCGCTCCCGGCCGCCTCTTTGGGACCCGCCGGCACGCGGAGCCGCGCGGCTCTTCCCGCCCCGTTCCCGCTCACCGGACACCATTCCCCTGCGGCGGTGCGACTCGGCGAAGGCCGTGATGCGGGGCCAGCTGATGGCGATCTCCTCGGCTGCGGGACAGCACGGAGCGCTCGCCCGCCGTGCCCGGAGAGCATCCGGCCTCGGGGTGGGGTGG